AGTGTCAGGAAATGAACTAATAACATAAAATATCAAACTGATGGTATCAGGTAATATTTCAAGGAAGTTCTCAAGATAAAGACCATAGAAGGCTGCTGAATGTGATGATTTCCTGAGACAGGTGTTGATCAGCCAGACAGTTGGAAAATACAGAGATGGGTTGGCCAGGGCAAGCTCTACTAATGGGGCAGAATTTTAACACTTGAAAGTTTAAGGTGAGCCAGGGTTTCAAGCAGTAACAGTTGATATTTGGTGTTGGGCCATCCTCAGTCATAGTAATTTCTCCCACCTTTTTTTCTCCTTGATGTTAAAATTGGGTGCATGTTCTCAGACAGACAAAAGTACTTTTCAGTCTGTGTGAGTTGGGGCAGATTCCCAGTATTCAGGACACAGAGTCACAGTTTCTGATGACTGTCTTTCCCAGTCCATGGACAAAGTATACAAATCACAGAAGAGAGTGACCACAACTACAGAAAGCCATAAGTAATAGGACCGGATCTCTGTGCCTTCTGTCTAAGAAGGTCAAGACAGTAGACAAACAGGCAAGCAAACACGCTTTGTGGAAGCAAGAATAACCAAGCAGGGCTGCTTATGAAATGCCCAACTCTGCCATGGACAAAAATCAAACACATCGCAAATGACAAAACTCACTGAAGTACCAAGCTCCCACACAGGTGACTAAAGCAAACAAGCTTTCTTTGAGCTACTTCAGAGCCCTTACTAGGAGAAACTTGGTTTTCACTGGGCATTAACTTTTTGTTTCTATGGTACAGAGATATTATTTTGAAGAGAGTTTACAAAAATATTGAGAGAATCTTAGGTAACCAAAGGATTTAGATAAGATCCCTAGGAACAATGAAAACTTTGACAGACAAAACAAAACCACTTGAATGTAAGTGGTCTCTAATCTTTGAAATTCTACAGTACAACTGACTTCCCCTAAGAGCCCCACTATGTGAATTCTGAGCGTTTCTCTGTATCATTTACAGCTTTGGGGCTTTCATCTCCCCCTACCCTGCCCATACCATTAAATAAAGGGCACCCTGATAATCTGAAGCGCAGACTCCGTTAATCATAGCATTCTCCTATGGTTTGCTGAATTTCCCAAATCGGATAGAATGACAAAGGCACTAAGCTTAACCAGATGTGGTTTTATAGTGATGTCACTAGGCTTTTTCCTGTAATCAAAGCCCCCAAAACACACAGTATCTGCAACAAGGTTAATGGAAATCCCCACCAAGGGTAAATACTTCAGCAGATTGTGTCATCAGAATATGTTTAAACACTATTTAAAAGGATTTTACAATAAGAAGATTTGATTTTACACTGGTAGACGCACAGGCGCATAATACATGGGAGCTGTTAACAAATGACTATAATGCCCTCCTCTCTTTCTCCCATCCCACCGCCATCTGCATTGTTCTTTTCAATTAGCTTCTTGCATTTGAAGTTCAAACAAGTCTGCTGCTCTGATCACTGCATGGAGATGACAGTGGTCCAGCGTCCACTTTGGGAGAATAATCTTATGTTTTGATGTTTTTATATCCTATAACATTGGTGACCTCATGCTTTCTTGAAGATTTGCTTTAATTATGTATATAGGTAGCTCTTTGTGAATGGATATGCACAAGTGCCTGAAGTGACCGGAAAAGGGATTTGGGTCTCCTGGAGCTGGAGTTATAGGCATTTATGAGCTGCCTGACATGGGTGCTAGGGACTCATCTGGCACTTCTGGGGGTAGGTGTTTGTTTTTAACCACTGAGACATCTCTTCATGCTATTTTTACATCCTTCACATCCTTTTCCATTTGCTCACAACAAAGTTTAAAACTTATCTCAATTCATCCTAGTACCTGAGACCATCAGACCCCCTCCTTGCTTCTGACTGCTGCCCAAGTGTAAGTGTGTAACAATGGGGCCCTGTTTGAGTTTCATGTAATAAGCTTTATAACCATGCATGCCGTATATCCTGCCCTGGCTCTGGCCTGCCAACTCCACAATGTGTAGCATCTTTCTCTGTTCTTACTTTCCAGAAGGTTCCTCATGCTGAATGGCATCCTACTTGTGTTTCTATCTGTTTCTAAGCATTTCCATGGCAAGTCGTGAGAGACAATGACACCATCTCAGCACTGAACCTCTGACCTTGGTGCTTAAAGATGCTCAACAGACAGATTGAATTGAACAGGCAGCTTAGATACATGCTTGAAGGGAATTCTAAATTAAGAACTTTTATCACAATAGTAAAGTTTATCATTCTCTAACCAGAGCCACATGGTTGTCAGGATTCTCGATTTTCACAATTAAATTTGCTATCCATTTAATTCCAAAACTAAACCATGAAGTAGTTTCCATCCTTAACCTTCTACCAGGAAACAAAGGGCTTTCCTGGTGGCATAGAACTGCCAAGCTGGGCAGGCTACTGCCAAACCCTGTGGTAGGGAGGCTTCTGAGGAAAAATCCAGTCAACGTTCATCTTCATGCAATTCCTTACTTTTTAGTATAGGTGGAAATGATGAAATGGACTTTATGGGGTTCCTGCAAACTGGTAACTGATGTATAAAAACTGAGATTATCCTGGTAGGTATAGTCTAATTATAAACCCTTAAGATACGAATCTCTAGTGTCCTTGTATTCACAGGAACACACTGCGAGAGAGCAAAGAGCTGTTCCCTGTGGATTTTTAAAACAAAGAAAACACTATGCCATATATGAGCTTTGTTTTTCCCCTACACACACACACACACACACACACACACACACACACACACACAAATAATCAGGATCGGTACACAATTAATAATAACTAATAGTAAAGCAGAACAGCTGTAGTAAGTTGACCATGCACAACTGAAGTCATGCAGAATGGAAATGAAGGACTCCTGTAGCATTCTTCAGGTGGTGGTAGAAGAATTTGAATGTGAGAGGGATTTAACATAATGAAAGTTCTCCACCACAAAGATGGAAAAGGACTCTGTAAAATGACTGGTAGTAGCCTCTAGAGTTGAGAATAGCCTTGTCTGAACCCAGGAGAGAATTGGGACCTCAGCCCTACCTCTACAGAAACATGAATTCAGAACCTAATTCAGGGAGGCTTTCCCAGGAGGCCCCGGCTCTCCAACTCCTTGGCTTTGTGGGCCCTGACTCAGTAACCATCTTAATCTATCCAAGCTTCTGAATCTTTGATGTGTGAGCTCATACAGAGACAATGCTTAAAGCTAATTACAGAATCTTATAGCTAATTATGGCTATAAGACTGAGTTCTATCTACTATAATGTGTTGGGCAGTTATCACCTATTCAGTCCCAGACTCGGTCCAAAAAAACTTCAACAATGATCTTTCCATATCTACTGTACCAATGGAGGTAATTTTAAAGAAACCTTAGCAGTCATATATTAAATATGGTAGATACCGTATCTGCCTTTTTCCTTTGGTGACTGTGGAGGAATGAAAGTTTATTTGCCAAGGTCAACATGCATATCAGAATTGTTAAGTGAACAAGAAACACTGTCTCTCCTGTTCCTGCAACTACAGACTTGAGTGTGTGCAAATGCATACACAGGTGTTTACATTTCAGGGCTATCTGAAGACAATGATTCAGCCCTGTGAGGAGCCAAGGAACCTGGATTCCAGTCAGAGAAAACAGGAAAATGAAAAGTCTAGGAATGGGGAAATACTTGTGTTTATAAGAGCAAACAGAAAATGCTGGTATAACATTGTAGAAATACAGAAGGGTGGAAGAATGATACAAGGGCAAGAAAGTAGACAAGAAAAATGTGTACTATATACCAACAGAAGGAATTTGAATGTTAAGATTGAATGTGGGGTTGAAGGAGAAGTGATCCAATATTAAATTCAGATTTTTGTTTCTGACAAAAGAGTAGAGTGTTGCTGTTTCCTGAGACGAAACTCAGGAAGAAAAACAAAATGTTGGGGTGTGACCAATAAAATAATTTCATTTTTAGGGAGTTGGCTAAGTAATCAAGTGTCCAATATGCATTTAAAGACCTGTTAATGGCTGGAAGAAAAATATCTTAGCTGAAGATCAGTATGAATGGGGATTGAAGCTCGAGGAGTGTTGAAAGACTGTGAGGGAAACCAACGTTTGTGGAAGAGAAAAAAGAGACCACAGTACAGCTTGGCCATCAACAGGGAAATGGGGAAGGCGAAAATGTCACAGACACAAGGAGAGGAATGTCCTGGGATCCAAGGAGCATCCTGAATTACATGGCCGCCATGTTGATTTAAATAGGAAGAATAAGGATGTTGAAAACACAAGTAAGATGGGTAAAGTTTGGACCCAATCCAGGTGTCCTGGGTTAAACCTCTGTTTTCTAAAAGGACATGTTCAATTACTAAACTCCAGTACATGTGTTCTTATATGGAAATAGCGTTTTTGAGGTTTAGTATGACCTCAGCTTAATCATGTTAAGTCAAAATCAAGGGGTTAAGTCAGTCAACTTAATCAAGTTACAAAACATAATCAAGTTAAGCGGAGGCCATAGGAGATTAGGGTAGGGCCATAAATCCAATATGAGTGCTGTGTTTATAAGAAGGGGAAGTGTCATGTGATGGTAGAGGCAGAGATCACAGTGAAAAGGAGAAAAAATTAGAGGAGAAGAGATTAAGAGCAAGCACGAGAAAGCTACTGCAGATGAGAGAGCCACCACTGAAGGGTTTGTCAACGTTAACTCAGCAAAGCTCAGGATCCTGGGCTCAGGTATGAGGAACACAGTTATGCTAATCTGTATTTGATACCTTTCATCTGAAGGTGCTGTAATCCTGGTGGCACAAGAGAGGTGATACCCTGAAAACATTTTATACTTGAAGTAAGGATAGGAGGGAAGGAAAGAAAGAATCTGAAAGGCAGAGAGAGGTGAGTTCAAAGAAAAAATAAGAGTGTAAAAGGAGTCCTTAATTAGTCTAGACGATAAAAGGCCAGAGTCAGATATAGAGGGAAATGCTGAGAGATCAGAGAAGGAACAAGCCACAGCACATCTTACCTCCTAAGCGTCTCCACAGAGAGGAGAGCAACTTCCTGTTTGTTCCTGCTTATATCCTGTTACTGCCCAGCTACGTCACTTCCTGCCTGTCTGTACAGACATCCAGACCTCTATGGTTAGCTAGTGGCAAGGTCCATTCTCTGACCCCCAGACAGACTTTGTTTGTGGAAGAAAGATATCACCACATAAGAGCCCTGAGCCCAAGGCCCAGGGAAACATTGTAGGAAAAGGGCAGAAAGATTATAAGAGCCCAAGAATCAGAGAGTCTACAACGAGATAGTTTTTCTTCTACATATGACAGTGAAGATGTACTCTTAAAATCTCAACAATAAGGTCACCTAAACAAGACCTGCATGCTAACAACATCAGCTGGAACTCCAACAGGGGTAGGAAGAAAATGTCACCAAGATCCATCACTAGATGAAGAGCTGTGATTGCTGAGGTCAAGATTTAGTGTTCTCCATAGATGAACTCTCTGGTTATCTGATCCCTTATGTATATACCAGCTTACACATGCATATACACACCAGCACACAAATGCATATACATACCATCACACACATACTTATACATACTAGCACATATACAGACCAGCATAATATGAATATACATACCAGCACACATATATTTATACATATCAGCACACATATACATATAAGAAAAACCAAATGGAATCACAAGGTAGTATTTAAGCTGGGCAGTAGTGACAAACACCTATAATTCCAGCACTAGGGAGACAGAGGCAGGCAGATCTCTGTAAGTACAAGGCCAGCCCAGGACAGCCAAGAAAAACAAAAAACAAAACAAACACACAAAAACCCAGGTTGTATTTTTGTATTTACATATACATACATACATACATATATACACACACATACATGTACACACATCCACCAATAAGAATCGAAGAAGTGGCCATAAAGTTAAAAAGGAGTGGGGAGAGCTGGACATTGGTGGCACACGCCTTTATTCCAAGAACTTGGGAGGCAGAGGCAGGCAGATTTCTGTGAGTTTGAGGCCAGCCTGATCTACAGAGCGAGTTCCAGGACAGCCTCTGAAACAATACAGAGTGGGGAGATGTGGCAAGAGTTGGAAGACCAAGTAAAAGATGTAGAAATGATGTAAATTCAGCATCCATGTGTGAAATTCTCAAAAGCAGAGTTAAAAAATAATAAAATGAGAAAACTAAATATCTTGATATTAGTAAATTAGTGAAAGAGGATAAAACAGGTGATTCCTATTGGGTGGGGCTGTGTGTGGTGAACCTGTGAGACAGAGTCAGTCCTAGGTGAGGGCAAGGTCCTGGATGTCTAACTGAGAGGCAGTGACGCCAAAGCACACCACGCTCTCTGTGGACAAGGAAGGATACAGACTGAGATTCCCTGCCAGTCATTCCTCGGAGTTCAAAGACTGGAGATGCTGGAGAACTTGGAGTCAGGAAGGAGCGCTGAGCTTTAGAGGAGCAGGTGGGAACGTTAGGAAGGGTGAGTTACGAAGGAGAACCTCCCACAGGCAATGATGAACTTGTGGGTGGTCTTACAGAGTCAGTGGGTGGAAGAGTTCTCTGGAAAGAAATGTGCACAGTGGACTGGAGCAGGAGACTTCACCAGTGGACTAGAGCAGGAGACTTCACCAGTGGACTAGAGCAGGAGACTTCACCAGTGGACTAGAGCAGGAGACTTCACCAGTGGACTAGAGCAGGAGACTTCACCAGTGGACCAGAGCAGGAGACTTCACCAGTGGACTAGAGCAGGAGACTTCACCAGTGGACTAGAGCAGGAGACTTCACCAGTGGACCAGAGCAGGAGACTTCACCAGTGGACTAGAGCAGGAGACTTCAGCAGTGGACTAGAGCAGGAGACTTCACCAGTGGACTAGAGCAGGAGACTTCACCAGTGGACTAGAGCAGGAGACTTCACCAGTGGACTAGAGCAGGAGACTTCACCAGTGGACTAGAGCAGGAGACTTCACCAGTGGACCAGAGCAGGAGACTTCACCAGTGGACTAGAGCAGGAGACTTCACCAGTGGACTAGAGCAGGAGACTTCAGCAGTGGACTAGAGCAGGAGACTTCACCAGTGAAATGAAACAGGAGACTTCACCAGTGGACTAGAGCAGGAGACTTCAGCAGTGGACTAGAGCAGGAGACTTCACCAGTGAACTGAAACAGGAGACTTCACCAGTGGACCAGAGCAGGAGACTTCACCAGTGGACCAGAGCAGGAGACTTCACCAGTGGACTAGAGCAGGAGACTTCAGCAGTGGACCAGAGCAGGAGACTTCACCAGTGAACTGAAACAGGAGACTTCACCAGTGGACTAGAGCAGGAGACTTCACCAGTGGACCAGAGCAGGAGACTTCACCAGTGGACTAGAGCAGGAGACTTCAGCAGTGGACCAGAGCAGGAGACTTCACCAGTGAACTGAAACAGGAGACTTCACCAGTGGACTAGAGCAGGAGACTTCACCAGTGGACTAGAGCAGGAGACTTCACCAGTGAAATGAAACAGGAGACTTCACCAGTGAACTGAAACAGGAGACTTCACCAGTGGACTAGAGCAGGAGACTTCACCAGTGAAATGAAACAGGAGACTTCACCAGTGGACTAGAGCAGGAGACTTTAGCAGTGGGCTAGAGCAAGAGACTTCACCAGTGAAATGAAACAGGAGACTTCACCAGTATACCCATGGCTTCTGATAGCAGCAGGGTCTCCCAAGCAACTCCTAGTGAAACAGAAGTGATGCAAAGACAATGCCTTTGACTCTTTCATCTACTCTGAAGCCCTTAGGGATTATTAAAGGCACTTGATAACAACTGCCAAATTCACAAATCACTTCATATAAAAGTGATCTGCCCCCACCCCCACCCTGCATCGCCCCCACTGTCAACATTAGCTGTCACTGAATGGGGACATTAAGTATAAATATGGTTTACTATAGTATCAAACACACAGCCAGACACTCTACAGAGAATAGAGTTGGTGGTGAACTGGGCCCTCCTTCCATACACGTGTTGAAGTCTGAGCCCCAAGAGCCTCATAAGGTGTCATAAGGGCCTTCCTTTGTAATGTGTTGATAGGAGGTGACTAGGGTACTAGGGTAGATCCCAACAAACCAGGACGGTGTTGTTATGGAAGTGGAAATTCAGAGATGACAAACTACCAAAGAGGACACTTCATGGGAATAGAAGAAGCAAATGTGGTGACATCCTGATAAACCAATTAAGCTCCAAAGAGGGCCAGCAAGTCACTGGAAAGCAGGAGAGAGGCTGGGGCGGTCTGCCTGCAGACATCCCAGGCGACAGAAGGCAACAGGTGCTGCTGATGCCCGGATCTTACCCATTGAGCTCCAGAACCGTGACATAAACTTCTGGAATGCATATGGTTTGTGGCGCTTTTTCACAGCAGCCGAGCAAACTATTACAAGTAGTTAAAATGATTTTTTGCTACTTATTGGGTGATTAAATGAAAATTTCTAGGAAGCTACATGAACAGCCTACCTCATTAAAGTCATTTACCAAGTTTAGCATATTAATTACTCCTGAATTATGCATCAGTGTTTATTTACTTCAAAATATTAATTTACTGATTCCCAGTGATTTTTTTTCTCAAATTGATTCATTTTAAGTCAACCCAATAAAAGTTTGGGAGATGCCGACTATGTCCTAGATGATAGACACTTCTGATTATGGAAATGAGTAATGACACAATGATTGTACACAATACCCTTAAATTCATGTTTTAAACAAAGATGTGCCCTGCTTAAAATTGGTTTAAACAGGGTACATTCAAATGGCGGATGTGTGTACAATGACCTGAAGCATTTGTGAATCAAAGGAGGGTGTGGGAACGCAGGTAAGCGATGTGTGCTCACATTTCGACAGTGGCAGGCAGCACGGTGTACACGGTGTACACGGTGTAACCCTGACACTGTCGAAAGGAAGTGAGTGAGGCTGCGGGTTATGACTCTATATCAGAGGAAAGACCAGGGAGAACCAGGAGGTCAATGTTATCCCATAGGCCCCATCAGATGTCTACAGTGCCTTTCACACCAGTGTTATCTATCAAGCACGTTGAAATGGAAAATGCCAAACAACAAAATACAATGTCTAGACTCCAAAAGCAGAGAATTTAAAACATGAAATGACTTCCTCAAGGAAAAGAAGAAAGAGGTTGGGGAGACTGGATTATTAGTAAAACGACTGACACACATGCCTGGGGACTTGAGCTTGGATCCCCAGAGCCCACCTAAAAGAGGTAGGTGCTATGTGCCTGTGCCCACAGAGCAGTGAGCGTGGAGACAAAAGGATCCCAAAGCTCACTGGCCAGGCAGCCTAGCACAGACAATGAGCTACAAACTAGAGAGAGAGAGAGAGAGAGAGAGAGAGAGAGAGAGAGAGAGAGAGAGAGAGAGAGAGAGAGAGAGAGAGAGAGAGAGAGAGAGAGAGAGAGAGAGAGAGAGAGAGAGAGAGAGACTCTGCCTCAAAAACAGGCAGAGCGCAATCTAGGCCAGATAACTGGTAGGGACCACTGCAGGCACACAGAGCTGCATATATAGTAAGTGCCCCACTACATGAAAAACAATGGAAGAAGGAAGGTAGGAAAGGAGGAAGGAAGGAAGGAAGGAAGGAAAGAAGGAAGGAAGGAAGGAGGGAAGGAGGGAAGGAAGGAGAGGAGGAAGGAAGGAAGGAAAGGAGGAAGGAAGAAGGAGGGAAGGAGGAAAGGAGAGAAAGAAAAGACAAACGCTAGAATTCCATGGCTAGGCTAAAGCAGGAGCGTATCTCCTCATGTGTAAACGCTTGTGTTGCATGCATTCATCCATAAACACACTTGCACACACATCTGCAATTCACTGAGAGATACACACACTACTTCCTGTATGCTCAAATCCCCCTTTACTGTGGTTCCACATTACACTTCGGACTTCAACACTGTTGGCCTATACTCATGATATCCCATCACTGAATACTCAGAGCAGTGGGTGTGGACCTTCTGTGGCTGTAGGCTGCTGCTGTAGTGTCACCACAGTGAGGTTGGTGATGCACTGTGCTGTC